TATGTGTGCATGTGTGTGCGTGTATGTGTATGCATGTGTGTATGTGTGTGTGTATGTATGTGTGTATGTGCGTGTGTGTATGTGTGCGCATGTGTATGTGTGCGTGCGTGCATGCGTGTATGTATGTGTGTATGTGTATGTGTATGTGTGTGTGTGTGTGTGTAATGGGTGGGGAAGGGATCAGGGCAGGGTCCCAGCTGTCTAGCCTCAGAAGGGCTGCTCAGGTGCCATGATGTTTGCAAGGCAGGTGCCGGTTCACCTGGTCAGGCCTTAGTACTTGGATCTGAAGCAGGAAAGGAAGCCGGCGGGAAGGGTGAAACCACAGCTTTGAATGCTGTGCGTCAGGGTCAGATCTATAGGAAGGAGTGGCAAGGTCACATCTGTGTTCCAGAAAGACCGGTGGTGGCAGGGAGGAGAGACTGGAGAGGAAAGGAGATGTGGACTCTGAGCCACACATTCGTACCCAATGGCATGCAGCGGGCTTTGGAGAAAGAGGAAATCAGTGAGGGTTAGAGTAACCCGGCAGGTCTTCCTGGAGGAGGTGGCCCTTGATTCCCCGGGGGGAGGGGTATGCCAAGCAGGGGAACAGCACAGCAAAGGAAGAGAGGTTAGAGCAAGCATGTCAAACTCGCGGGCCGCGGGCCGCATGCCTCGTTTATTTGGCCCGTGTTAGCCTTTGAGTTTGACAAGCTTGGGTTAGAGTGAGGGGTGGCTAAGGATGAGTGAGACGCCTGCCTTTCTGTTCTCTCCTCCCCCCTCCTTGCTGGCCCTCTGAGCAGGAGGGAGCCTGCGCTGAGACCGAGCGCAGCTGCCTTTCTGGTGCCTCTGGCTGAGGGAGGGGTGGGCTGGGGGCAGCCTGGAAAGGTCCTTCATTGTGTGTGAGGCCAGGCTGGGGCCGCGGAGGCGCATCCATGGAGCCCTTTGTTTGCGAGTCACCCACCCAGCGCTCAGGCGGCCTCCAGCGCCCCTGTGGGCCTTGGGCTCGAGGCTGTGCCATAGACAGGTTGTTCCTCCTCCGCTGGTCCTCATGTCATAGCTGAGGGAGGGGCATGGCGGGGCAGGGGTGGACACTGGCGGCCTTCGAGGCTGGCTGAAGGCTGACAAATTGCCTTGAGGCTCAACAAATCACCAACTCGTAAAAACCTTTAATCATCGGATCCACAGACTGATGGATGGAACCTTCTAGCACCCGCGAATCCCGGAATAATGGAATCTTTTTAGGATCATGAAATCTTTCATAATAGACCCTGTGGAAGCCACAGACTCCTGTAGGATAGCAGAATCTGAAGTCACTGACTTTTTAAATGCTTTCCTTCTAAGGTGTGGTGAAGATAAAATGAAATACTACATGGCAGGCACAGAGACCAGTCCCGGCTTGTAAACGCTCGCTAAGTGTCCGTTGTTGTTTCTGTTTTGAGGAAAGTCAGGCCCAGAGAGGTGAAGTGACTTGCCCAGGGACACACAGCGAAGGAATCAATGGCATAGAATGGCAATGGCCTGGAGGGAACCCAGGTGGGCTGAGCCCTCTGCTGCCGGCTCCCCCTGTAGCTGAGCCAGCTGGTTCTGTGTCTGAAATAAGGTCTCTGAGCAAGAGGCTCACTGATGGGGGTGAGCGTGGGAGCAGGGAAGAGGGGGACTCCAGGCCTTTGAGCTAGGCCTCCGAGCCAATCCCTGTGTCATACAGGGAAGTCATCCTGGGCTAGTATTCCCCGCCCTGCTTCCACTCCAGGGGCGGGTGTGGCAGGCTCTGAAGTCAGCCCTCGGAGCTCAGGTCCTGGCTGTGTGTTCCTAGGCCAATGGCATCCCTCTCTGAGCCATTTCCTCCTCCGTGCACAGGGAGGACAAGGTCCCAGGAGCGCCAGGGGAACGGAAGGAGCTAACGCTCTCCGAGGCGGCATGGTGTGCAGGCTGCTGCTTTCAGGCCCGGGCTCAGCTCAGGCTGCTGCAGGGGTCAGTGACTGGGGCAAGTCCCGTAACCCGCACGCACCTCCTTTTCCTCAGCCGCAAAACAGGACACAACAGCAACTCTCACTTAGAGTAATCGGGTTAATACAAGTGGAGCACTTAGACCAGGGCCTGGCCCCTGGGGGCGCGGGGCGGGGCTCAGTAAGTGCCCAGCTCTCACTGCTATCCTGTGAGGCTCCATCACAGGCGAGCAGTTGTTATCAGTGGTCAGTGAGGAGCTTGGGAAGTGCTGCACGACTGCGTGTGTGAGAGTGTGTGAGTGAATGCGAGTGTGCGCGCATGTACGTGCCTGAGTGCGTGCGAGGGAGCTTGTTAAGAGCAGAGCCTGCGCCACCATTGAGCCGGTGCCCAGAATAGCTGCCGCTCCTGGCGGCCTCCCTGGGGACTGGAGTGTAATGAGTGTTTACGGAGCCCCCTGCCAGGCCGCGATGAGAGGCGCTGAGGAGCCAGCTTCCAGCCAGGCAGGGCTGGGAGCCCAGCGTTATTATATTAACAAGCATCAGGGTGATGATTACCATTAATGAGATTATTCACCAGGCAGCCTTCCCCTCCCCAGGCCTCAGGCTTAGGATGGGCAAGGCAGGCAGGCGTTCTCCGCCTCCGCGGCCTCTGTCCTTCTTGGTCTCTGTCTTGGGGGAAGGGGAGAGGATGCCTTGGGGCCAGGCATGGAGCAGAGCCCTCGACATCCTTGTCTCACTGCATCTTTCCAAGCCCCCAGGTTAGGTATTGGCAACCCCCTTTACAGATGGGAAAACTGAGGCTCAGTGAGGGTGGCCTTGGGATCCCCTTACGCCTGCCTGAGCCCAGCGCACACGTATTCTCATTGCTTCTTCATGTTATCTGCAAACGTTCACAGTGGAGCGAGCCCTGAACTGGCACTGTCCGTGGACTAACACTTTCACCGTCACAGCAACCCCATCCACAGTGGGGAAGCAGGCCCGGAGCAGCTGAGTAACTTACCATCCGTGTTACAGTGTCTTCTGCCTCCAGTGGCCCCCTGTCCTCCCAGCAGACAAGATGAGGTATAGTTCCAGACACTGCTATTCTCCCATAGCAGCAGTCTGAGCTGAGGGCTCTGTGACCGGGGGCCTGTGGGTAGCTTCCTTCTTGTCCCTTGTCCCCCACTGGCCCTCAGTCAGGCCTACCTCTGGGCACAGACTCTTAGTGCCACCTGCCATGCAAAGCTGAGGCTGCCACTTACCCACTTACGCTGCAAACATTCTTCTGACCCTCGTTGGCCCCAAACATCAACCCCTTTGAATACACTCTGAGAGTCAGGTTCACTCATTTTAACTTCACTGGCCGGCCAGTGTGCGTCCAGCACTGGGCCGGCTAGCGTGCGTCCAGGACTGAGCCGGCTAGCGTGCGTCCAGCACTGGGCCGACTAGTGTGTGTCCCGCACTGTGCCGGCTAGTGTGTGTCCAGGACTATGCCAGCTAGCGTGTGTCCAGCACTGAGCTGGCTAGCGTGCGTCAAACACTGAGCAGGCTAGCGTGCGTGTCCAGCACTGTGCCGGCTAGCATGCGTCCAGCACTGGGCTGGCTAGCGTGCGTCCAGCACTGGGCCGGCTAGCGTGCGTCCCGCACTGAGCCGGCTAGTGTGTGTCCAGGACTATGCCGGCTAGCGTGCGTCCCGCACTGAGCCGGCTAGTGTGTGTCCAGGACTATGCCGGCTAGCATGTGTCCAGCACTGTGCCGGCTAGCGTGCGTCCAGCACTGTGCCGGCTAGCGTGTGTCCAGCACTGTGCTGGCTAGCATGTGTCCAGCAATGTGCCAGCCTTGTGGGCACATGATGAGAGAGACAGACCCTCCTCGTGGAGTTTTCAGTCTCTGGACAAATCAGTGCAGGGCACATTCGTTACTGACAGCGGGACTGAACACCCCAAGGGCAGGGCAGAGGCCTGGAGTGTGGAATGGACCTGCCACGGGGGAGGGCGGCCCTGGACTTGGGGCTACAGTGCTGCTGGAGCAGAGGGTGCATCAGGAGAGACCTCTCTCAGGAAGTGACTTTAAGATGAGACACAAAGGCTGAGCAGGAGCTGGGCAGTCACAGGAGCGAGAGCATTTCCGGCAGAGAGAGTGGCATCGGTGGAGCGAGATCCCCACGGAGGCCTTGCCGCCTGCTCAGCCAGCACCCGACACACAGGTGCCTCCCCGGTGCAGTCATCATTCATTCAATACTCATTTATCAATTAGAAACTTCTAATTTAGGCCGTTCACTTTCTCATTCATTTCTTTATTCTATACTAGAGGCCCGGTGCACAAAATTTGTGCACTCGGGGGTGGGGGTGTCCCTCAGCCTGGCCTGAGCCCTCTTATAGTCCAGGAGCCCTCAGGGGATGTCCGACTGCCACAGAGGCGGGAGAGGCTCCCACCACCACTGCTGTCCCCTCCATCCGTGAGCCAGCTCAGGGCTTCTGGCTGAGCAGTGCTCCCCCTGTGGGAGCGCACTGACCACCAGAGGGCAGCTCCTGCATTGAGCATCTGCCCCCTGGTGATCAGTTCTTGTCGTAGCAACCAGTCGTTCCTCTGTTTGGTCAATTTGCATATTAGCCTTTTATGATATAGGATCCCCCAATGCCCCTCCCATTTCAGGCTTGGTGTTGGGCAGGGGGACACTGAATTGAATCAGTTGTGGTCTCTGCCCTGAGTTACTCCCAATCTAGTGTGGGTGATGAACCCTTACCTACAATACCATGTGATCAGTGGGCATAGACCCTGAATCCAGGCTGGGGCAGTGGTGGTCAGGAAGGCTTCCCAGAATCAAAGGCAGAAAGGAGGGTGGGCAAAGGAGCTCAGCATGTGCATAGGTATGGAGACCCAGAACCAGGCTGGCTGTGAAGGGCCCTGAATGCCAAGGCGTTGCAGAGACTGTGGCTGTCCCCTAATATCCCTTCTCCCTTCAACACTAATGAGACATGGCTGCTTGGAAGAAAGACTGCATTTCCCAGCCTCCCTTGAACCTGGGTGGGGCCATGTGACGAATGTGGCCAATAGGATGGGAGTAGAAGTATTGTAGGCAGTTTCAGGGTTGTTTCCTGTAGTGGTGAGCCCTCTCCTCTACCTTTCACTCTTCCCATTTCCTAGAAGGTGAACAGGGTCCCCTCTTGGGACATGTGAACGAGGGCAACAGCCCGGGAATTATAGAGCAACAGGACGGAAGGAACCTGCCACTGGATGGTTTATGTGTGAGTTATTCTATGAGGGACAAGTAAACTTCTGTCTTACTTTAGTCAGTGCTATTTGAGGTCCGCTTTAGGAGCTAAACCTTTATGTAGCTAATAGCAAGGCTAAGGGCTAGTATCCTCTAGGGCACAGGGAGCTGTTAGAGTCCTGGGGGCGGGGTGGGGAGTGACATTGTCAGATTTGCATTTTGGGGAGATCTGCCTGGCAGCAGACTGCAAGATGGGTTGGAGGGGAGAGAGACAGGAGGCGGGAAGACCAGAGAGGCGGCTGGTGTCTTAGAAGGGGGCAGAGACCTCCAGGCCCGACCCCAGCAGGCCTGCTCTGTGTGTTCCTGCTGACAGAGGGAGGGCCAGGTTCCTCACTCAGGCCTGGAAAGCAGGCCCGTGGAACCCAGCCTTCAGCTGCCACAGGAGCCCCAGGAGCCCCCTGGGGAGGGTTGGTAGTGCAGGGCTGAGGGTGGGAGGGAGAGGCTTGAGGAGGAGTGAGAGGTGGTAGGGAAGTGCCTATGGTGGGCGGGGCCTGGGTGGGAGATGGAGATGGGGCAAGGACAGATGGAAGGAAGAATGAGGGGGACTGTGCTGGTCTGGTCTCCAGCGGCAGGTAGCAGAGACCCAACCAGAACCGGTGAAAAGGGGACGTTACTGGCTCTCACTCTGGGAAGAACACCGTGGACTGGAGACTCGAACAAAGTTGTTGGGCTGCCATTCTCTCCACTCCGCCTCTCTGTTAGCTCATTCTCTTCTACTCCAGACAGCCTTTCCCCCGCTCAGGGCAGGAGGTCGGCCTGGCCAAAGGCAGCTTAGGGTCCCATCCTTTCAGCTCCACTGAGAACCTGTTTCTTCCAGCACCCACATGTAAGCCCCAGGGAAGGAGAGCTGGCTGGGGTCGCCTGCCCACCCACGGCCGATCGCTGTGGCCAGGGGGATGGATGCTCTGACGGTTAGGCCTGGGTCCCTTGTCCAGTCCGGGGCCAAGGATTGGGGTCCTGGGATTGTGCTCCCCACAGGGAGGAAGGGAAAAGAGGTTCCCCTAAGGAAGAAAGCATTTTTCTGTTACCTGGAGACTAGGGGCTGGGTCTCTGGGTGGACAGCAGCAATCAATAAAGTCTGCAGACATGGAAGGGGAGAGTGGGCATATGGGGGGATGGGAGGCAATGACTGGGGATGGGGGTGGGAGGCCTAATGTGGGGAGAGACTGAGATATAACCTTTCTGTGCCTCTCCTCCAGCAGTGAGCACACTCCAAATGCACCCCCCAGCCCCCCGTTTCTGTCTCGGGGCTCCTAGTGTCTTATTTAATTGTTAGGAAAGGATGCATCAAACCAATACCTATGAGAGCTGATGGGCTGAGAAATGCCAAGCTCCTCTTCCTAAAGCACTTTTCCACTTCCTCTCAGAAGCCCTCCTTGATTTCTCCCCAGTCTGGCAGAGCTGGTGACTCCCTCCTCTGGTCCCTGTGTTCCTCTATTGGCTTCTATCTGGGCACAGCTCACCCTGTGCTCCAGCGAGGGACCCACATACCAGTGTCCCTTTAGGCTGTGAGCCTATTGAAGGCCGTCACTATCCTCTCTTAGTTAGCACCTGTCCCCCAAGTCTTGGTCCTGCCAACTCTTGGGTGTCTGCCTGTGTCTCTGTATATGTTTCCGTGTGAAGGTATGTTTATGTGTGTGTCTGTGGTTATGGATGCTGTGTCTATGCATATATGTTCACCTGTGGGCGTATAAGACTGTGGATGTGTGTCTGTGTGGAGATTTTATAGGGGATTTTTTGTGTCTGCCTCAGTGAAACTGTGTATATAGGATGGTCTGGGGGCCACTCCCTCTGGGGCTTGGTAACACACAAGTACACACACAGACCCACACAGAAGTATAGATACAAGCAAACGTACACACCTAGTTGAACAAATACATAGACACAAACATACAGAAACAGACACACTAGTTACACACACACACACACACATACACACGCCTGTCTGGAGACCTTCTGTGGCCCTGCCTAGGGCTGGCCCTGCCTGGGGCTGCCCGGCTGCCCTCGGCTGCCCTCGGAAGGAAGGCTGGGAGCCCTGTCTGGGGCAGGCTGGCTGGAACGGATTCCCGGGGCTTCCCCTCCGCAGACCGGAGTGTTTTCTGTGCCCGTGCAGTGGCAGGAAGCCAGCCCCGCCCTGTGCCTTCCATTCCCGCCCATGTGGCCACCCTCTGACAGCAGGACAGCGGGCCCACCCTGCAGGGTCATAGTTCCGGAAAACACCGAGGCAGTGGGGCCTTGGAAGAGGAATTCTCACCCTTTCTTTTCAGACCACGCACCTCGAGCACCACAGCCTCCTGTTACAGCATCTGAGAACCACCGTGACGGCATCTACCTTATTCTGTCTGAAGGTACAGGGTCCTAAGTCAGGCTGCAGGGCACACCCACGGGGTGGAGGGAGCCCACTGTTCAGTAGCTGGGCCCTGATTTACCACTAAAGGTGTATTCCCTGCTGCATTCCCAGTTCTTGGCACAGTGCCTGGCACATAGTAGGTGCTCAGTAAATGTCTGTGGAATGAATCAGGAAGGAGGCTCTTATTAGCTCCATCTTACAGACATGGACATGGAGGTTCAGAGAGCAATTTGCCCACGACTGCACAGCAACCAAGAGGCAGAGACAGGATTTGAACCCAGGAGCCATCAGCTTATCAAACCCCAGCTGGTCCCGCTGTTCATCCAGGGTTACTCCAACCGAACGGAGTAAATCCTGAGCTCGTGGCCTGGGGCCCTGGAAGTCCTCCATGCACATTTTCACTGCTTGTTCTAAGTCTCAGTTTCCACATCTGGACAATAATGGGTTTGATAAGATATCAGGCATAAAAGTACAAAATTAGTTCATGAGAAATGCAACTTAAAAAAAACAAACCCCACTGACCTGCATTTGTATGTTGAGCCCACAGTTCCCTGAGCGTAGCAAAAATGTGCTCTCAGTTATTTGGGGACCTCTTCCCTGGGGCTCGTGTCCAGGTTGGGGAGAGAGGGCAGAGGGGTTTTGTAGTGGCAGGAGCTGGGGCTGGCGCTATGCCCTCTGGTTTGCCGTTACTCCCCTCCGGCCCCCACTGAGATGCCCTCCTCCCTGCCTGGCCTTTGACCCCCCCCCCTTCCGCCCTCAGATGTCACAGCTACGCTACCCTTTGTCCCCATCTCGAGCCTTGCAGCTCTGGCTCTCCTCAGCCCCTCCTGGTGCATAGGGGTTGTTCTGGCCTTCAAGTCCAGCTCCAGCACTTCCTTAGCAAGCCTCAGTTTTCTTATCTAGAAAATGGGGAGAGGCTCCTTTGTCAAGTAAACAAACCGATCCACACAGAATCCTTAGAAGAGCACCTGGCACATTGTAACTGCTCAGTCAATGCCATTTTGGCTGTTACTGTTCCCTGCTCTGTTCCGGGGGGCGTGGCTCAGGGCAGGAGTGGGGGCAGGGCCCCTGGTCTCAGGTCACCTCCACGCCTGCCCCCTCCTTCTGACAAATGAAGACAGACAGGCTGGGGACTGTCGTGTGTGTGTGTGTGTGTGTGTGTGTGTGTGTGTGTGTGCGCGCGCGCCTGATGCCTGAGTTTGGCCTTCAGGGTGCCTCTCCCCCCCAAGCCCCACCCTGACCTGCTACCTTACCTCCTGCTGTTCTTTGCTCAGTGGCCCTCCTGTGGCTCCAGGTGCTCCCTCCTTTCAGCAAAGAACAGCAGGAGGTAAGGGAGCAGGTCAGGCTGGGGCTTGGGGGGGGGGGGGGGGGCCCCCTGAAGGCACCTGGACTGCCCTCTCCTCCAGCTGCACTTAAAGTGCCGCCTCTTCAAGATCCAGCTGCATGGCTGGCCGTGGCCGCGGTGGTGTGTGCAGCCAGGGCCAGGCTGCTCAGCAGTGGGAGGGGCAGGGGTCCAGGCAGGCCCCTCCCTCCAGGAAGATGCTCCAGGAAAGTGGGGATAGAGGAGGACCAGGCGGGGAGGGGGGCTGGTTGGCAGGTGGCTGGTGGGCCCTGGGCACAGGGTCTGCTATCTGGGAAGCAGGGCAGCCGTATAGTCGGTGAGTTAGAGTCCAGCTTTCTTTTTAGCTGGTGACCTCAGGCAAGTGACTTAACCCACATGACCCTGGGCAGTGACCTCAGCTCCCTGTGCCACACTTGCTCGTCTGGAAGATGGGCATGAGACTCGGGCTGGGGCGGCAGAGCTGGAGACAAAGGGCCATTGTTGCTGGTGCTGGGAGCTGCCTGACGCAGGGAAGGCTGCCCGGCGACGATGTAGGACAAGTGACCCTGGATTCCCTCTGGGAAACAGGAAGCGCCTGCTGCCCAGGTCGCCGCCCTGGCCACAGGAAACAGCTGACCCCCTCTCCCTGTCCCAGCCCTGTCCTGTCAACAGCCCAGCCTGGGTTTTCATATTTTGTGCTGCATGTGTGCTTTGGGGGACCTGCAAACCCATTGAACATACTATGTATATGAATGCATGTGTATATGAACATACTATGTATATGAATGCATGTGTATATGAACATAGTATGTATATGAATGCATGTGGTATATGAACATAGTATGTATATGAACATAGTATGTATATGAACATAGTATGTATATGAACATAGTATGTATATGAACATAGTATGTATATGAACATAGTATGTATATGAACATAGTATGTATATGAACATAGTATGTATATGAACATAGTATGTATATGAACATAGTATGTATATGAACATAGTATGTATATGAACATAGTATGTATATGAACATAGTATGTATATGAACATAGTATGTATATGAACATAGTATGTATATGAACATAGTATGTATATGAACATAGTATGTATATGAACATAGTATGTATATGAACATAGTATGTATATGAACATAGTATGTATATGAACATAGTATGTATATGAACATAGTATGTATATGAACATAGTATGTATATGAACATAGTATGTATATGAACATAGTATGTATATGAACATAGTATGTATATGAACATAGTATGTATATGAACATAGTATGTATATGAACATAGTATGTATATGAACATAGTATGTATATGAACATAGTATGTATATGAACATAGTATGTATATGAACATAGTATGTATATGAACATAGTATGTATATGAACATAGTATGTATATGAACATAGTATGTATATGAACATAGTATGTATATGAACATAGTATGTATATGAACATAGTATGTATATGAACATAGTATGTATATGAACATAGTATGTATATGAACATAGTATGTATATGAACATAGTATGTATATGAACATAGTATGTATATGAATGCATGTGTATATGAACATAGTATGTATATGAATGTATGTGCATGTGAACATAGTATGTACATGAATGCATGTGTATATGAACATAGCATGTATATGAATGCATGTGTATGTGAACATAGTATGTCTATAAATGCATGTGTTTATGAACATAGTATGTATTTGAATGTATGTGTATATGAACATAGTGTGTATATGAATGCATGTGTATATGATCATAGTGTGCATATGAATGTATGTGTATATATGTGAGGGACCCATTTCCTTGCTTAAAAAGAAAGCAGCTCTGTTTTTCCACTGCAAAAAAAAATGTCTAAGAGCCACCATCTCATCAAACTCATTTATTTATAGGTGGGAAAACGGAGGCTCAGGTAGACGATGGCTGACGCAAGCTGAGGACAGCAGGAGTGGGAATAAAGGGACCCCAAGCCCCTTGCGTGGAGGAAGGAACTGGCAGGCAGGAGTCGTCCCTCTCAGGTAGCAGGCCGCCCCGGAACCGACATGGAGAGAGCGCAGCCGAGCCTGGTGCCCTGGGTGGAAGGAGGCACCCTGACCCAGAAGGAAAGCGGCCGGCGATGTAACCCGCAGGAGCAGCGTGACGCGAGGGAAGTCCCATCTGTACGTTCTAGACCCCGGGCTGGGGGTGGGATGTGTAAGACAGACACGGCCCTGCTTCAGAGAGCGGCTGAAAAGTGCGCAGACACAGGATGCCGAGATGCGAGTGCCCAGCACCACCTCCCGAGAGAGAGTGGGCTGGTGGGAGGGCCTTTGAGCGCTGGGACACACCAGGAGGGCTTCCTGCTCCTGCCCCGCCAGGGCCCTGCTGCGGGGCCTAAGGCAGTCTGTGCCTTCTCTGGTCCCTGGCGTGGGTGGGAGAGCTCCCCCGGGGCGCTTTGCTCTCTGGCATCCAGGGAGGCCCGCGTCACAGGAAGGACACCATGTTTTAATGCACCCGTGTTTCTTCGCTGCTTTTATGTGTCTCTCTTCCTTTTCAGCCAGAGGCACCCAGGGCCTTTGAGAGGAATAGGATCAGGATCAGGAACACAAAGGGAGGAATTGACGTTCAGCTTTTGACTGAAGAGGAACCTGCGTCCTTGGACAGACAGTCGTCTTGAAAGCCAGGCTTTGTTGAGAGGTGGGGCGGCTTTCTGAGTCCCAACGTCATCTTTGCACATCAAGAGCCCAGCCCGCTGCCTCCGAGATCACAGAGGAGTGCGGAGAGGACGGAGGGGATGGAGAGAGGGGGAGCCCGCCAGGCAAGGAGGGGAAGCGGGGTCTGCCCTCACAGGGGTCCTGGTGAGGAGGGACGGGGTGAGGACATGGGCTGGGCCCCCAGGAGTGGGAAAGAGACTAGACCACAGAGACCAGGACATCCGTGCTCTGGTCCACTTTGCCACTTACCAACGTGGGGAAGGGGGTGAGATCGTGGGGGTGGGAACCTGACATTGGTGGGAGGGGGTGCCTGGTTAGGTGAGGCTGACCTGGCATTGCTGGGTCCCCATGACCTATGTGGGTGACCAGGAGGTCCAGAATTCCAACTCCCAAGGATCAACAGACCAGCAGAGAAGGGCACCGTGTGGCCAGGGACGGGGGGGAATCCCTGGACCAGGTGAGTCACACCTGGTGAGTCACATAGATGGGAGACCCCCTCCCCGCTTCCAGGAAGCTCGGCCAGCTTCTCCACACCTACCTACCCCGCTGCCGTATTCGGAGGAGAAGTGGGAAGGGGAAGCCTGAAGCACTGAGCATTCACTCCAAAGCAACTGAATTGCCTCCCGAGAGACCACATGAAACTGGAGGGGGAGTCAGATTTAGTGACAATGAACTTGCCAGTTAACAGCCCCTCTCCCCACCTGCACCCTCAGTGGGAGGGTGTTGGAGCGTTTGTGAGAAGTCAGAAAGCGGCCTTCACTCTTCCTTTGTGCACCCGAGTGTGGTGTGCAGTTTTGAGCTGTGGGTATCAGGAGAAGGGCCTGTCCGTCTTTACGCGTGTGCGTCCCTCTCCCTGGTCAGGTTTCGTCTTGCCAGTTATGTGCACAGAGGCCGGCCGTGGGGGCAGGCGGCACACAGCTGGTAACTCCCCAGGCCTTTACGAAGTGTCACACACGTTGTCTTGTTTGATGGTGTCAAGGATGAGCTCCCTCTTTGTGGCACCTGAAGCTCCGAGAGGTTAAGCAATTCGCCCAAGGTCACACAGCGAACTGACCACAGAGCTGGGATCTGAACTTGGGTCTTCAGGTCCCTGAAGCCACGCGCCTCTCACTGGCACAGGCTCTGTGGAAAGCGCCACAGCCACGTGATTGATAACGGTGGTTACAAGCCATGATCTGCTCGGGGACCTCCCAGCGTATGTCAGGGGACATCCGTGGTGATCAGTCAGGGGCCACGTGGGAACTGCCTGCCGGCTCCCGGGCGTGTCACGGCCGTGGCTTCCAGCCATCACTCTTCCTGCGGTGCATTAGGGCGCCCGGATGAAAAGCCTCCAACACACCTGGCAAAATGACGCGCAGGAAAGACTCATGCATCTTGCTCCAATTAAGACGTTGGGAGAGACGAGAATCTAATTGTCCCACAATTGCCTTTATTTATCAAACTCGTGATAAAAGTGTGATTGTGAAGTGTCTCAGGAGAGCTTGGTGGAGTTGAGATGGTCTAGGCCAGGGGTGGGCAAACTTTTTGACTCGAGGGCCACAATGGGTTCTTAAACTGAACCGGAGGGCCGGAACAAAAGCATGGATGGAGTGTTTGTGTGAACTAATATAAATTCAAAGTAAACATCATTACATAAAAGGGTACGGTCTTTTTTTTTTTAGTTTTATTCATTTCAAACGGGCCGGATCGTAGTTTGCCCACGGCTGGTCTAGGCTCTGACCGGCATCCCAGCCACTGCAGGACACAGGCCAACCTGTGCGGGCATCTGGGGAGAGCCTCCTGGTTCCGCGGATGAGCAGGGTGAGGTCTGGCTCCTGCCTTGTCTCTGGCTTGCAGGGAGCTTTGAGTTTATCTCTTCCCTGTCCTGGGTCTTCGCTTCTTCCTATGGAAAATGGGGAAGGAAGGAAACAGGAGACTCATCAGCAGACTCCTCCTCTACGACTGATGCTGTGTCCAGACTTTTCACATATGTTGTGAGATCCTTTTCTATCTCACAAAAGGTCATCTCCTCCAGGAAGCCCTCCTTGGAGCCCCCAGGTTGGGTCAGATGACTCTCTTTATACTTCCATTCTATGGATTTTGACGGGGTCTTTACTGTCCTAGGGGTTGAATGGTCCATCTCTTTGCTTGCACTCTGAGCTCTGCAAAGACCAAGAAAAAATTGTTGTTGTTGTGTTTTTTTTTTTGGTAATCCTCCCCCAAGGATATTTTTCCATTGATTTTTAGAGAGAGTGGAAGGGAAGGGTAGAGACAGAAAGAGAAGCATTGTTGTGAGAAAGACACATCGATTGGTTGCCCTCTGCATGCACTCTGACCAGAGCCAGGGATCAAGCTTGCAACTGAGGTATGTGCCCTTGACCAGAATCAAACCTGGGACCCTTCAGTCCACAGGCCGGTGCTCTATCTACTGAGCCTAACCAGCTAGGGCAAGGCCAAGATAATTTTTGACTCATGTTTGCATTCCTAGCACCTGCAACCCTGGAACAGACCTCCAGTAGATTCTCCAAAAATGTTTGTTGAATCAATGAGGGACAGATAAGAAATTTAGGTTCATGGGGTGTCAGTAAGGACACACAGTTAATCATTCTTAGAGCCAGGAGTCAATGTCTTGAGGGGACCCTCAATCCAAGGATGAGGGACAGGTGACGAGGGATAGGTAAGCCATGGGGATTAGCCTGTGCAAAGGCTTGCAGGTGAGGGAGAGCTTGGCTCTGCTGGGATGACTTGTCTCTGTCCAGGAGGCACTGGAAGCTGCAGGAGGAGAGGTTGCGACCCTGGGCTGGCCCCGCCCCAGCAGCTGAGCCAGCTGTTCACTGTCAGCTCTGAACCTGCAAGCTCCTGAGGCTCCTGGGTCACCGACGCATCCTGCCAGATCCAGTGGCACGAGAAGGAAGGAAGCAATCTTGGTTTGCTCGGTTTCCGCTGGCCCTTCCCTCGTCCCTGTGCTGGCTCCCAGGACCAATGCCCGAGACAGCTTTGCACAGCAGGATGGAGGAGGGGCCACAGGCTGCTCTTCCAGCCCGGGGCTCCTTTGCAGCCACATGTTGGCTGCTGCCTGGCCACCGCCCCGGGATGCCTGGCCATGGCTGAGCTGGCCAGGACATAGGAGGGCTTGGCATTTGTTGAGGATTTACTGGGGGGCAGGGGGCAGGGGGGGAAGTACAGACGGTGCTGAGCACTTTCATACATGCTTTCCTCACTCAGTGCAGCCGGCAGTGGTGCTGTTATCCCCATTTTGTAGATGAGAAGGCTGATGCTCAGGTGGGTTAGGAGGCTGACCCAACGTACAGCTCATGAAAAGCAAGCCCAGGATTTGGACCCAGGACTGTCTGAGTCCACCGTGCCAGGCTGCCTTTCAACTCACTGAACTTCTTAACAGACCAGCCGTCTCTCTGGCAGGGTAAGGCCCGCACAAGAGGGCAGGTGGGCACATGCCCTTCCAGCCAGGTGACAGGCACTGAAGGCAAGTGTTGGTCCTGACAGGTGGGCCCAGCGCACATGAACCAGGGAGCAGGAATGAGGGCCGGAGGAGAGGGGTGGGAAAGCTCAGTCTCCTCAGCCAGGTCTGACCTTGGGTGCCCTGGACTGAATGTTCTTCAGAGAGACAGTAGTACTGCTGATGGTCCTTTATATTTTAGTATACATATATATTCATACATTCACCCACCCAACCATCCAGCTCCCCGTCCATCCATCCGTCCATCCACCATCCATCCGTCCATCCATCCATCTACTGTCTACCCACTCTGAGTCCGTCCATCCATCCATTCATCCATCCATCCATCCATCTACTATCTACCCACTCTGAGTCCGTCCATCCATCCATCCATCTACTGTCTACCCACTCTGAGTCCGTCCATCCATCTACTGTCTACCCACTCTGAGTCTGTCCATCCATCCATCCATCCATCCATCTGTCCATCCATCCATCCACTGTCTACCCACTCTGAGTCCGTCCATCCATCCATTCATCCATCCATCCATCCATCTACTATCTACCCACTCTGAGTCCGTCCATCCATCCATCCATCTACTGTCTACCCACTCTGAGTCCGTCCATCCATCTACTGTCTACCCACTCTGAGTCTGTCCATCCATCCATCCATCCATCCATCTACTGTCTACCCACTCTGAGTCCGTCCATCCATCCATCCATCCATCCATCTATTGTCTACCCACTCTGAGTCCGTCCATCCATCCATCCATCTCTTGTCTACCCACTCTGAGGCCGTCCATCCATCTACTGTCTACCCACTCTCAGTCCGTCCATCCATCCATCCCTCCATTCATCCATCCATCCATCTCTTGTCTACCCACTCTGAGGCCGTCCATCCATCTACTGTCTACCCACTCTCAGTCCGTCCATCCATCCATCCCTCCATTCATCCATCCATCCATCTCTTGTCTACCCACTCTGAGGCCGTCCATCCATCTACTGTCTACCCACTCTCAGTCCGTCCATCCATCCATCCCTCCATTCATCCATCCATCCATCTCTTGTCTACCCACTCTGAGGCCGTCCATCCATCTACTGTCTACCCACTCTCAGTCCGTCCATCCATCCATCCACCCATATCCATCCACCCATATCCATCCATCCATCCATCCACCCATCCATCCATCCATCCATCCATCCATTCATTCACCTGTCCCCATTCCCGTGAACATTTTCCATTCACCTACTGATTCATCAACTGATCCATCCACCCACCCATCCATCTACTGTCTACCCACTCTCAGTCCGTCCATCCATCCATCCACCCATATCCAATCCATCCATCATCCATCCATCCATCCATCCATCCATCCATTCACCTGTCCCCATTCCCATGAATATTTTCTATTCACCTACTGATTCATCAACTGATCCATCCACCCACCCATCCATCCATATACTTACACTCATCAGTTAATTCAGTGGTTCAATGAGAAGCTTAAAGGACCCAAGCTCTTTCTATATTCTTGCTCTGTGGTACTTAGAAGGTCAGGCTTTTGTTCTCCATCTTATCTCCTTATGGCTGCAGCATCTCCAAACATCTCATCCTCACACATCAGTGTTCAAAGGCCAGAAGAGAGAACACCCCCTCTTTGTGTTCCTTTAATGAGGAGAGCTTTCCTGAAGGATCCCCAGTAGACA